ACACCCAGATATACACACACACACCTACCCTGACACACATATACACCCAGATATACACACACACCTACCCTGACACACATATACACCCAGATATATACACACACACACTTACCCTGACACACATATACACCCAGATATATATATATACACACACAGCCTGACACACATATACACACACATACACCCAGATATATACACACACAGCCTGACACACACACACACAGCCTGACACACATATACACACACATACACCCAGATATATACACACACCTCCTGACACACACAGACCCACATACACACCTCCTGACACACACAGACCCAGATACACACCTCCTGACACACACATAGACCCAGATACACACCTCCTGACACACACAGACCCAGATACACACATCTCCTGACACACACAGACCCACATACACACACCTCCTGACACACACACGCCCAGATACGCACACCTCCTGACACACACATACACTCACCCTGACAATCATACACACCTCCTGACACACACACAGACCCAGATACACACACCTCCTGACACACACACAGACCCAGATACACACACCTCCTGACACACACAGACGCACATACACACACACCTCCTGACACACACAGACCCACATACACACACACCTCCTGACACACACACAGACCCAGATACACACACGCCCAGATACACACCTCCTGACACACACAGACCCACAAACATACACCTCCTGACACACACATACACTCACCCTGACAATCATACACACCTCCTGACACACACATAGACCCAGATACGCACACCTCCTGACACACACATAGACCCAGATACACACACCTCCTGACACACACGCACACACACACGCGCGGCGGACAGACACAGGGAGAAAGAGGTGCTCTGGAAGTGTTTATTTCGGCTTGCTCGGAGCCCGGCGGCGCACAGCAGGATGTTCAGGCGGCGCGGCGCGGCGCGGTCACGTGACACGGCAGGTCACACGAGACGTCAACACGCAGTCGGCAGACCCGAGTCGGAATCTTATACTCCGGATCCCATTCCTAACTGCTTCAGCTTATACCAACTGGACTAACATAAACATACTGTAGAAATACTATACATCCAGAAAAAAACTTTCCTGGAAGAAGAGGCACTTATGTATAAATTCTTCTCTTTAACAGGAGGACTTTCGCGTTTGTTCAGATACAGTTTGTCGGTTCATAGGCAGATGTTCTTCACGTGTGGCCCCGCTCCAGTCTTGAAAGGGTTAATTCTCACTGATGGGCGTGGCTTCACCAGGACTGGGCGGGAGTACGTCCTCTTGGGGGGCGTGGTCTAGTAGGGGATTGGTCCGTAGTACTGGGTGTAGGCGGCGACGATTCCGGCGGTCTCGGCCATGTGCTCACAGGCCAGGTTGACTTCACACACCTCCCGCAGGCTGGAGAGAGAGGGAGACGAGTAGATGATGCACACTCGGCCCAGCCGGGCCTGTCCCCTCCCCCTGCCCCCCTCAGGCGAGCACACGGCCCCTCACCTCTCCAGCTGCTGCAGCGACAGTCCGGCGCCGCCAGCGCCCCCTGCGGCACCCCCTGCAGCCCCGATGTTCCTCTTCAGTCTCTTGACGAAGGAGGAGGCCAGGTCTCTCTTCACAAACACTTCTGCAACACGGCAAGAACATGCCAGGTCACACAGAACCTGCCTCACTGCGCTGTTCCCTCTAAAATATAATCAGGGCTCCCACTGACACACCCTG